CTCTTGAAAACTTTCTGGCAACTTGTTAAGAGTAATTTGGTTTTCCAATGTCACTTAATACCTGGCCATTAAATATTGTTTTTTCTTCTTCTTAAAGCTATAAAATATATTGTCAGGCTTATCTGGAGGCATAAACGTTCAATTTCTCAAGACTTGTTCTTGCTTTCTGCAATTCCGCCGTCTCTCCTTCTTCTTCCTTTTCTCTTCAACTTGAACTCTTTATGTCCTTCCCTTTCAAAATACGTGTTCTGCTCTGTATCTATATGGAATACGAAAAGTCCAGTTGCTTGGAGAGGGGAAGAAATGGCTTTTTTGGAACCCAATCAGCTGATTACAATCAGCTGTCTGTTCGGAAAAACCCAGTTTATGAAGTTTTGAGTGTCTGCTGTAAAGGGATCCTGTCTATACATCCATTTGGTTCTGGAGGGAGGCCAGCGCTAAACCCTGAAATTTGGTCTGCATTCATTACGTACAACCGGCAAACTTCGTGGTCTTTGGAAAGCAGACATCAACTTGACCTCCCCTCGATATGGTAATTGTTGGGTTGGATTTCATTATGTAGCAATTCTTCAGCTGGTTCCACCACCCAGAACACCCCTTTTTCCATGAGATGTTTTTGGGCATTTCCCAGGACTGTATATAAAAATGTTTGGCTCTGAAATAAATCATTGTGTTTTAGAGACAATAGCCAGAAAGAGGACAACTTAATCCTCTTTTGTCTTTTGCCTGGGACTAAATGGGCAGCCGAGTGAGTAATTTAAGAAGGAAATAGGGATGGCGTATGGAATTTGTCTTCTTCTCTTTCATATTTAACTAATTTCTGGATTTGAAAAATAGAATAGAATACCAGAGTTGGAAGGGATCTTGGAGGTCTTCTAGTCCAACCCCCTGCTTAGGTAGGGAACCCTACACCACTTCAGGCAAATGGCTATCCAATCTCTTTTTAAAGACTTCCAGTGTTGGAGCATTCACAACTTCTGGAGGCAAGTTGTTCCACTGATTAATGTCAAGAAATTTCTCCTAAGTTGCTTCTGTCCTTGATTAGTTTCCACCCATTGCTTCTTGTCCTACCCTCAGGTGTTTTTGAGAATAGTTTGACTCCCTCTTCTTTGTGGCAGCCTCTGAGATATTGGAAGACTGATATCATGTCTCCCCTAGTCCTTCTTTTCATTAAACTGGACGTACCCAGTTCCTGCAACTGTTCTTCACGTGTTTTAGCCTCCAGTCCCCTAATCATCTTTGTTGC